GCCCTGCAGAGTGGCTTTCTCCCTCAGCTCGTGGGGCACTAACACCGTAACGCTACTGGGAGCAGTCGGGGGCCGTGCGGGGTGCTATAGGGCCTTACCTGACACAGGCACTCCCCTGAAGAGCTTACCAGTAAGGGCCCTGCAAATCCACAGAGATCCCCTTTCTAGCCATAAGCGGATATTTGTAGCTTACTTTTGTGAATAGCAAATTTATATCTAGAATCCTGCAGCTTGGTTAGAAGTACCGTAACGCTACTGGGAGCAGTCGGGGGCCGTGCGGGGTGCTATAGGGCCTTACCTGACACAGGCACTCCCCTGAAGAGCTTACCAGTAAGGGCCCTGCAAATCCACAGAGATCCCCTTTCTAGCCATAAGCGGATATTTGTAGCTTACTTTTGTGAATAGCAAATTTATATCTAGAATCCTGCAGCTTGGTTAGAAGTCCGTGGGTATCCGCAGCTGTGCATATCCGTGGATCATTTGTGCTGGTGCAGGCATGGCTGTGGATTCTATTTTTGTATCCATGCAAAGCTCTACTTAGAAGCAGTGTTCAGTTTCGCTGTGCGTATGTGGTGTTTTACTCCTCAAATACATCCCAAATCGAGGGGTGGCTAGGCTTGTGAAACTAAACATAAAAAGCCTTTCAGACCTGAGTTTTATTTATGTCCCTACATGCATTTACTGTAATATTTAAAAAACCTTTGGGTGTTCTGCTGCTTTTAAGGTGCCTGATTAATACTCTTGGTTTTTATTGTTTAAAATCTGTATTATGCAAGGACTAGTTCAACGATTTTAAGCTCCTAGTAGGCCAGGGATGGTCAATAATTTTTGCAGGGGGGTAATTCTAAGAATATTTTAAGTGTTCACAGGCTGCACTTTTCTGTTATATTAATGAAGAGAGTTGAGGAGGGAGCTCTGGGAAGGGGATTAGGCTGCAGGGTCTGGGAGGGAGTTTGGGCCCAGTTGGGGGAGTTTCTGACCTGGGGTTGGGATGTAGAAGGATGTGCAGGGTGTGGTCCTAAACAGTCCATGCTTCTCATAGCTGACTCCCAGCCCAGTGGGGAATTCAGGCAGGCTGCCTAGGTGCTATGGTAGCCCCCATGTCACTCAGAGCTGCTGCATTGCTGGCAAGTGTGCCTTGCTTTTTTAATATCCAACCTAAACCTCTCTTGCTGCAATGTAAGCCCCTTGCTGCTTGTCTTGTTCTCCGGGGTTAAGGAGAAAAAATTATTTCCTTACTCTTTGTAACAAGCTTTTAGGTATTGTGTCCCCCTCCCCCATTTTTCTCATTTCCAGACTAAAACCCAATTCTTTCCAAATCTGTCTTCATAGGTCATGTTTTCTAGACATCTAATCATTTTTTGCTCTTCCGTGGACCACCTTCAGTTTATCCACATCTTTCCTAAAATCTGGCACCAGACTGGCTAGCTTTTCATTCCATTCCCTGGATGCTAAGGGAGTGAGGGGAAAGTGCTTGCATTCCTCTCACACCTGGCTGGTGAGCTCCCTTCATGGAACACAAGCAGTTTCTTCTCACTCCCTTAGCATCTGGGGAAAGGGATGAAAAGCTAGCTGCGTCCCGGAGTGCACGGCTACTGCCCCTCCCATGCACTCGAAATGGTGCAGTTTCTCCTCACTCCCTTAGCATCTGGGGAAAGGGATGAAAAGCTAGCTGCATCCTGGATTGCACGGCCCCTCCCATGCGCTCGAAATGGCACCCTTGTCTGGCACCCAAAATTGGACACAGTACTAGAGTTAAGGCCTAATCAGCAGAGTAGAGTAGAAAAATTGTTTCTCGTGCCTTGTTTACAACACTCCTGTTAATATATCCCAGAAAGATGTTTGGATTTTTTTTCTCCAATTTGATCACATCTTTTTTAACAGTAATGCCTAAAACTGGACACAGTATTTCCAGTTGAGGCCGCACCAGAGCCATGTAGAGCAGAATTACTTCCCATGGCTTATACCCCTGTGATCATATACCAGAATGGCAGTTGCCTTTTTCAGGACAGTATCATACTGTTGATTCGTATTCAATTTGTGATCCCCTAAAACAGTGGTTTCCAACCTTTTTGATACCGGGGACCAGCAAACCCATTAAGAAACGTTAGGCAGACTGGCAACATTTCATTTGTGTATTTGTATATTCATCATGCAAATGATATATATGTAAGTAAAATATTACCGGTCTGCCCCTGATTGCTTGGTGTCATGTGCAAATTTTATAAGCATCTCTCCACTCTATCATTCAAGTCATTAATGAAAACATTAACTAGTACCAGACCTATGAGAGTCCCTCTCTGATAGATCTTTCCAGTTTGACAGTAGATCATTGATAATTACTCTTTGAGGATGGCCTTTTAACTAGTTGTGCAAGCACCTTACAGTAATTGCATCGAGATTTATAGATGAATGCTATAGAAAGTCCCGCTTTATAAATGTTTGTTGAAAACAAGTACAGTAAAACTCCAGTTGTCCGGCATCTAGTGGTCCGGCACTCCTGATAGTCTGGCACCACCTGGAACCTGGAAGTGCTCCAGGCAGCTGGACAATTGGAGCAGCTCTGTCCCCGGCTTCCCCGAGTCAGCCGCTGGTCAGTTTTGGCAGCGGCTGACTTGGGGAAGTCCAGGGCAAAGCAGCTGGGGTGCTGCTGGGTTGGTCCCACAGCACCAAGGAGCACAGCTCTCCCCCCCCCCACTCCACCCCAGACCCTTCATAGCCCCCCCCCTCCCGATCCAGCATATTTGATAACCCGGCACCCCCTGGGTCCTAAAGGTGCTGGATTATCGGAAGTTTACTGTACTCTGTGGCACATGATGATAACTAAAATCAAGAAGTCCATAAAATATGCTACCACATTTCTCCAGAAAACATGCTTATTGTAGGCAAGTGAATTTCACCCTCTAAAAAGTTACTTCATAATGGCTGGATGTTTAGGCTAATTAAAAACAATTGTTTTAAAATTTAACTTTTAGCAAAGACAGACACAGCTTTTAAGGCATTTTTGGATGCTCAGAATCCTAGACGGCAGCACTCCTCGACTCTGGAGTCTTACCTTATCAAACCCATCCAGCGGATACTGAAGTATCCTCTGCTGCTGAAAGAAGTTCTTCC